GCGAAGTAGAGCTTCTGAGCTTTTTTCTATATTTAAGACATTCATCTTTACAAGGCGTGACTAATTTTATACTTACATTGTTTTAACGGATGAGACATTTTGAAAGCAGTTTTCACTGAGACGAAGCAAAATATTGAAGCTCATGTCGCTAGAAAAGCAAAAAAGAAAAAATCGGTTCGTTTCATTCTCCAGCCAGTTCATTAAACCATTTGCTAGTACAGATCTAAACGGAAACTTTTCACTTTTTGATCACTGTATGAGGAATATACTCACATATATTCCAGCTTTTCGAGATCTGAAAAGGCCTTTTGCTGTAACTGGGATATCCGATTTTTCTTGAAAAACCTTGAAAGAAATATGGCACTTGCAGCAAATATGAATGAAGGAAGTAATTACGAAAAAAAAAAAATAACAGAACAGCTCACTGAGAAAAGCGCCAAAAAAAAAAAAACCGAAAAAAAAACCCAGAAATAACGACATCACCAGATTAAATTTAGAAATGCAATGGAACTATATATTTGCCGAGGTTTTCTTGCTTACACAGCTCCTGTATTGAGGGGAAGATTTCTTGGTACACTGAGTAAGTCTATTCCAGTTACTTGAATCTTCTTGTCTTTGCCTTCACCGAAATATTCGCATTTACAGCTTGATGGACAACCTAAAATCAAACGATAATACTATTATCAATAAAAATTGAAGAGCCAACAAACAATTAATTCAGAAGTAAGATAAGTAGCAGTTCTCGTGCATAAGAAGGAAAGATTCTTTACCTTGCTGACGTGAACAGGAAAGTCCGTCATTTTCGTTGACTAGAAAAAAATTTCGATAATCATTCCTATCATACGGTTTTGGAAGGAAATAAAATGGATCACACAAACAAGCCGAGAATACTACCGTTAATCTTTGCGGGAAAGTAATGCAAACCGACAAACTCTTCTTTTTTAACAGCAGTTTTTACAAGGTCACATCGCACAAATTAAACGGGTCTCTTTTTGGATCTTATTGTGATCATTAGATCTACACGACTGTTCAGAAGAAAACTTAATCAATCACATTTTGCGCCTTAATGATATTTTTAAAGCTTCTCTCAATAACCTATTCGAGAAAAAGTCCCCCCATTCTAAATACCTTAGAAATGACTGAGACCCCCTTCTCCCTCTAGGGATTTTTAGAAATTTTGCGGTGTTGATTGCCTTTTATATCAATTTATGCCATCCTCAAAGATCTCAAAACCTGGAATGCTATATCGCTGAGCAGGGTAGCGGACTGCAAACAAAGTATCAACAAAATGACAATAATGAGAATATTATAATTTTCATGTACCTGAAACAGAGCGATACAAGGCCTTGAATCTGGCTACAGGCAAATTTCCTTGACAGCTCAGAAGAATTGTTAAATGATTAGAGGAGGATAAGAGATCGGAGGGAAAGAAATAGCCACAGAATTTGCCTAAAGAGGGTCCAGTCGATCCGCTACCATCGAAAACCTCCACAAAACAATTATCACACGTTGGGTGATCCCTGAGTCGGAACTCTTGGAACTGCAAATTAATTATATGACGGGGTGGGACGCTTATGAGCCATCTGCAGAGGATGTCATCAAGAGAATGTCCCGGATATAGAGGAGAGAAGAAGTATCCCGACTTGTTGGTCAAGGTTTCACTACAGGCTGAAACAGAATGAGGCAGCTGTAAGTTGATGATAATAAATAGAGCTTGTAAAGTCCTGAACAGAAAAGTACAGACTGTAATTTCTAGGGCTAGTGAGGCTACTCTTAAAAATCCCCGCCGCATTCAAGTAAATACTGGATATATAGTGAATAACAGCAAGGTTGATGATTTCTCCTACGGGCAAGAGTAGGACAAAATGTATTGTAGAAACTATATTACCTTCACTTGCTTGGGGTACTTCAAGAAAAAAAGATGTAAATAAAGAAATAAGTAAGTTGTATGCAGCGGTGGACATAGATGAAGAGGGGCTTCTCGCCTGCCGTCTTGAGGTTGAATTAGAATTTGGATTTACCATCACGTTAAAAGTAAGCGCTCTTGCTATCGGCTACACTTATCTATTCTCTCCCTTTGCTTTTCGCTTTGCCTTGCATTCTTATCTTTCGGCTGAATACGAACTCCGAAAATTGTATTTTTCCTCTGAAAAGTCGGCAAGGCATGGACGAAAGTTGCACTTTTTAAATTTTCATTATTTCCTTAAAAGGTTTTCTTACAATATGAACACGGTTTGGACACGCAATGAATGTTTCTACCAATACTCTACCTTGTTTAGCTGACCAGGGTTTGTGTTTACAAAGGTTCCCTTTGTCAATGTACAATCCTGTCAATGCTATCAAGTCTTCCCTTGTCTCTGTTTTACCTTCTATTGACACCTGTTTATTGTAATAGCACAAAAAGGAAGAAAAAAAGTTAATGTTGGGTCATTAACTTATTATCTGAGAAAAAGACGGAACTGGAACGAGACAGGAACAATTTTTCGAGAGAATATGTCGTAGAAATGAAATACAGGCAAAAAAAAAGGTTAAAGGTAAACACACACATGGTAAACTCCAGGAAAAGGGCGACTGGTAAGTTTGTTTCATACTTTTTCGTGTTTTAAACCTTGCAACCCCGACGATTTTTTTCTGGGGAGTCAAAAAGCTCTCCCATTCCTAGTGGAACTTGCTTATATTGTTCACCACGAGAAATAATCAGGATCCCACCGATGAAATCCGGGGCCCTGGAGAGGAATATCGCTCTGCCAACTTGTTTTATTTAAACCTCGTCATTTTAATATTTTCCAATACCTGAAACTCAGAAAGAGAATTCAAAGGAACTTGTCCATAGAGCCAGTTCGCACCACTGTTTCTTCTCGAAATCCAGACCGGAATTCTGCGGTACTGTTTTGTCTTCTGGTAAATTGTAAGAGCCTTCATCCCAGGGCCTCGCAACATGTAACGAAACTTTAGGCACTCACTATGCCAGTCACGTGATCTATTGTATAGTGGACTCACAAGAACAGCGGACTGGTTAAAGTAAGTAACGTTGGTATTTACCACAAGTCTGCCACCTGCATCAGGGTTAAAACGGAATTAGTTTGTTTTATTAAAGTGCAATATGATAACTCTCGTCTTCATTTACAGAATAAACGGGGTAAGTTTCTAAAGAAACGTGGTGCTGCGTCGGTGAGGGTAAGAAGGAAATTTGGTTTTATCAACTCAGTCGATAATGTAAATTGGCCACCGCAAAGAGTTTCAAAGCTGACGTTTCGAGCGTTCGCCCTTCGTCAGAGCGGTGCATTTTGAGAAGGCGACTAACGTTTCACCAAGCTTAGCTATCACCATTAGAGTCGACTCACCCGCTTCTTTGTGTGTTCATATTATAGCCCAATTAAGCTGAACAATATTTCAAGATAGGAAAGTTAAACTATTCTTATTGAGTAGCAACATGTAAACCAGTCGATGCATGAGACTAGTATAGTAGTATCATACCAGTAGTATGGAGGGGGGGGGGAGAGAGGTCTGGACCGATCGAACCCTCTCCCCTTGACCCAACTCTAGCAGTTTAGAAGCACATGATATTAACGAAAGCCAGTAAGTACTTAAAGCTAACTATCAACTAGCAAATGATGGTTTGTAGTTGCCTGAAGGTTTCGCTTATATTCAAACTTGAGAAGATGAATCATGGAAAGCTGCCAATCACATTCTCTTCAGTACGAACTTGCCTCCCCTATCTCTGCACGTTCGAAACCATTTCACTGCCACTTCTTTCTGCAACCCTTTTCTTATCGTTTCCCAGGTCTTCACGTTTCCTTTTTCACTGCCACATCCAAACGACATGTGCAGTATCTCCTCGACTGGCATTTCATGTCCCCAAAGATTGAATCCACTTAGAGAACCCAGAGCAATTGATGCATTCTCACTGGAATTTCGGAAACCAATAGTCATGGTTCCTCCTCCTGCGTGGGAATGGATGAGAAACTAATGAAAGTCTGTGATAACATAGAAATTTCATAATTATGTTTGCTTTAGAACATAGGGAAAACGTCAGTAGTTTCCTTTTCATTGGATACTCTATTTTTGTATTAGTTAAGACGAATGAAGGAAGTCAAAGAGTGTTGAAGTTATCTAAGATCTTTGCTTGATCCACGACATTCGCATTACCTGCTTACCATTTCAGAATGATCACTCAGGTTTTCTAGGCAGTTAACTTGATTTTACTTTACCTTATCTTTGGCTCCGTGCAATATTCTCTTTTTCTCTGAATAAATAAACTCTACATTTTTTTCGCTCATTTATTGCTTCATTTTTAGATCATAAAAGCCATATGCACCTCCGCGTTTACGTTTCTGCAACCTTAGTTAAAATCAACCAACCAACTCCGGACAAGTTAAATCTGATGCAAGTTGTTTAATGGTTAGTCTATAAGAAGGAAACAGTTTAAAGATACAAAGCAAAAATCAACCGAACACAAGCAAATAGATGACTTCTCCACGATCGGTACCTTCGATCGCAAAAAATCGAAATCCAAATGAGCTATATTTCCTCTTGCCATCTTCGAACACCTGCATCAGCCCTTTATGTTGATTCCACGATACACACACGTGATGCCACATGTCATCTACCACGCCTGTCGGTATTTTGCTATGAGTAAAATTCAAAGATAAGCAGTCAGTTAGAGGCAACTATTTAGGGAACGATTGTAATAATTATTAGTGGTGTCATAGGAATCTATCGGTGAATCAAACACCCCCTCCTTATCGTCCTTGCGGCAAAGGATATGCCAGTATGCCTTAGTGTGGTGAATAATTACTTTCTTTCTACCCTTTCGATACAGCCCACTTCAGACAGCGTCTAAATCCGGCTCGTGGGACATGAGCAGCTAAAGCAGTCTCAGCGGCGATTTCAGGTAGAGAGGAATTAAAACAGGAATTTAATTTTGTCGAAGAGTTTCATAAATGGCATTATGTGTTCATCTCTAGCCGCGCCAGGCCTCATCTTTAACATGGTATGCAAATACAATACCTAGTTCGGAATTAAAATAGATTAATTTGCCGACAGATGATCTCTGACCGATAAAACTCTGGAATTTCCCGTTACAACGGCCTTGCAGAGCTATTATTCTGTTTATTAAGCCTGAAGTTTTGTTCTCCACGCTCTCTTGCCGTTCTTGGTTTAGCTAACTTCTTCTATCTGCCCTCTAATGCAACTGTGTATGTATTTAAAATTTTGTCTCGCACCTCCTGCTATTTTTAAGCTGTAATTCAAGGGTGTCGTTACCGATGTAGCATCCCAGTTGCAGAGATTCACCTTGCTCCCTAGGAACTTTATATTCGATGAAAAAACCATCGTGAGAGGTCTTTATCCAAAAGCAAAGCGTAAACCCCTTCAGGAGGGGTGAAATGCCCGAGAATGACACATAGCCGGGATCAAAATCAGGAAGCTGAATCTCGTAGTTTTCTGGATCAAAAAAGCCTGGGATATTAAAACATAATTTTAAAATTAATCATACAGCAACCATATACAGCTGTAACTTTGTTGGAGCACTTATTGAGGTGAGGGAAAAGAATGCAGGGTTTATATCTAATCTCCTTTCGATAGGATTCCAATTCAATAGGAACGTTAAGGATAATGATTACGTCAAAAGTCAAAAGATTAATTTTTTATCCAGTTTGCTCTCAGACTTTAGCACCCCGAAACAAAATTACATTAGTTAGTCGAAGAGAACAAAGCTTTTTGCTGCTTTTCTACAGAGTTTGTCCAGTCGTGGATTCCAAAGCATATAAACTCATTAGAGCGAATGCTTCTGATAGATTATATTGAAAGAAAGCAGATTCAGAATTTATTTTTTGAGATTCCAGATCCAACTCGTAAAGTCTGTCATTCAGCTGGGTTTCTTTTTTGAAATCCCATTGTTAAAAGACCTCGAAGTGCCTTAATTAGGAATTGAGGTTTTAAAAAGCTCTTAGTTCACGAGTTTAGTGTATGCAAACAGCAAAGAGAAATTGAATATATGTAAAGTTGAGGTAGAGTTATGCATTTATGTCATACATCAAAAATTTTACTCACCAAAACCAGTTGAGTCAGCAGAGTCACTAACATCCCCCTGTTTATCATCGTAGGTATCAACAGCCTCGTCCTGGTGGTCTTTTTGCATGAGTCGCTTCCAGCCACGAATGCTTTTCCATCCACACCAGTCTTGTGATATGTTACAAGGGCTGTCATCTAAATGATTTCAAGAGGGGATCAATTAGGCTAAGATTAATAGGCGCCTTCCTCATACGCTTAACTGAGTGCTTGTGCTTGTGTTATTACTACTGCTGCTACTAGCACTACTACTATTACTTCAGCTTCGTCTACTAACACTGCTCCCACTCCTTCCAGATTCCTACCAATGCTACCAATGCTACCACGGCTGCTGCTGCTGCCGTGGTAGCGTTAAGGTGCAGACAGTTGCACTATCAGACGATGTCGATTCGATAAACAATACATACAGTACCTTTACAGCCATATACCTCCACCCTCATGGAGATGTGGTCTTTCCAAGCTGTCGGTCGAAAGCGGATTACACGTGCTTTGATAAATGGATTAACTTCATGGAAAACAACACTGTCCATGTTTGTTTTTCCTTGGAATTCCTTTATGAAAAAATGGTAGTACAGATTAAGAAGGGAATGCTTGCATGTCTTGTCTAAATTGTATTCTTCTCCTGAAGTTATGTAAGTGAAAACAGAAATGAGCCAGATGAAAACGAACAAGCTCAAACTTACCGAAACGATGAAAGAGACGACAGAAATTTGATTTCGATGTAGGAAGTCCGACTCACCTTCTCTTCAGTATCGCCTGGTTCCTTGTAATACTGGAAGCTTATTCCATCCTCGCTATACTGCAGCTTGTATTTTGTTACCCACTGAGGACGTGCATTCCGTCCTTGTGTTGCTACGCCCGTTACCTTCATGTACTGACTTCCCAGATCCACCTGGAGCCATTGGTTGCCGTCGTTTACGCCGGCTGACCAAGATCCTTGTTTAACGCCTGATGGTTTAAAGTGTAACCTCCCCTGCGGAGGGGCGTGGTGGGCATCCCATCGTGAAGAAGCAGTGATTTGTTCATCGGGGATAGCTCCATTCTCCATCCCAAGAGGGTTTTGACAATCTAATGGTTTTTAGGGATAAAAAAGGAATGTAGATGACATTGGTAAAATAATACGAAAAAGGAGAGGATAAACCGTAACAATACTTTCCACGTCCTTAGTAGTGTTCGCTATGGTTTGGGGAGAGGATGGTGAAGCTTCTCTTCACAAAGTACCACAATAGGTGAGTAGGGGAAAGGGGGGGGGGGAGGTTAAAAAAAGCACTGACCGTTGTAATGAAAAAAAGGGACCAACAAGATAAAATAAGCCTTATGAAACGCACAATTCACGCGTAAGTCTACTCATTTACCGTCTCAGTTTCTCTATTCTAATTTAGCTTTGGGAAAGACGCATGATCTCCTTTAGCATTCTTACCCCAAAGATCTAAATCTTCATTTCTCTTAATTGAATGACGTATATTTCTTGAAAATTAAATCTTAGGTGAAACAAAGTTCAGTTTTGCTTTGAAGATGCGAGTCTAGATTAACCCTTACCTTTACCAGAACTCCAAGGAATAAGTTTGCAAGGTTCTTTGGTCAAAGAAACATCATCAATGGCTAAAAATGCTCCGGGCGAGAATTTGCTGACACCAACAAAATGAATCTTTAGAATATTACAAAAAAGCAATCATGTTAAGATATAGGTTTATACAACCATGAAAAGATATGTTCTATCAGGAAAAGAGATATTTGGTTTGAACCCACTCTGGTTTCTTAGAAGGCGTGACGCAAATTGCAATAATTTAAAGAGTTTTCAGAGAGAATTGCAAATCCCTAGTTTCATTCGCAACCGTTGTGTAGTCTTGTAACGCGTCCTCTCACGCTATGCCTGTTGACGGTGGGATAAGGAACGCGTTTCGAGACGAGAACGGAGGCTGTGAAGGAGACTAGTAACCTACCTGAATTTGAATTGAGTTGACTGGTATCGGTAGCTGTACGTAACGCACCGCATTGGTCGCTTCTTCTGCATGGAAAAGCAGTTGAGTTTTGTTTGTCTTTGTGTTGCTTAAGATCACAGTTAATGACACCTTGCGCCAAAAATGAGCTTGAACACGAATATTGTCAGCGATTAGATACCAAAAACGAAGGCACTTCCATTCATAGGCATTTTTGTTGATGATGGGAGATGAGAGAAAAGATGGCAGCTCTGATACTCCGGCCGGAAGAGAAGCGTATCCTACTAACAAAAAAAAATTCGACGTCATGTTAAAGGAGTGGTATGCTCCTAACACCAAATAATTTTGTCGCGGTGGGCGAAATCGTAACGCTGACCACATTTTGAGATTCCAAAGATATTGTAAATGTATTGAAAGTCGTCTTCAAACATAATAAAAAGTGCGCCCATCGGCGACGCCATTTTATAACTTGTTGGAGATATTTCTAAGAATAATTTAAAAATTCTGCCTTTTCGCCTGCATTTACTGAAAAAGGTTAAGCAAACGACCGTTGTCGCCGGGTGACATTCATTCACCTTTCAGAAATCGCGATAGTGTCGCCAGAACGATATAGCATTACCTAGTTAACGACAACTCACGATCTCACGGTTTACCTCGCTTCTTCATTCCCGCCACATGAGTATCCAGGACCCATCCATTATGAGCGTGCCAATCACACATGCTCTCTTCAAAATAGCAGTCTGGACTCGCTGGAGATGATGCAAGAATAGGAATAGGTTACTGATGCCATTTCTCTCTCTTTTTTTCCTAAAACTAACAATACTACATGGGAAAATTACCTTAAAGTCCTTCTAAATCTAGTTCACGCGTCTTGAAGCCTTTATTACTACTTTGATTGCTCAGAAACACCTCGTTAAATATACTTACTTTGTTTCAAAATTTTCGTACATGTTCCATCCAATACCATGAAATCATCCACTGCAATATCACCTTTACTTCCACTGCCAACAGTTCCTTGTAGTACAAACTGAAGAAAACAATATCGATAATAACTTAAAGATAGACTGTTCAATGTTTCAAAATACCGATATCGATGCTTATTTTA